GAGAGAGAGAGAGAGAGAGAGAGAGAGAGAGAGAGAGAGAGAGAGAGAGAGTGTCCTGGGTCCTAGCCATTAGTTTTGAGATAGTGCAAGGGCTAGATGCCTTCAGCCCCTTGAAATTTCAGCTGCCTGGAAAAATAAACAAACAAACCAACAAAAACTGGCCTGAAATTCTTCATAGTAAAAGACCAGAGAACGTTCCAGTAACCTTCACCAGAGAACGTTACCAGCCACTACTTCGTTATCTCCTCCCTTCCCCACAGCACAACTGTTTATATGTATATATCCAATGCCTCTTGATGCCTTGGCCTCATCTCTAAGTTTTGGTTTTTATGAAATAATTTTTTACCTGCTTTTACGATACATTGTCCCTGGACTTTTGGCAACTAGCTGATTCATTTTTACACTGGGTTCATCAGTGTACATTTTCAAGTAGATTAAAGATTACACTGCTACTGGCTTGTCTTCCTCAAATGCTTTAGAACATGTATTATTGACATAAGGTTTTTCCATTAAGGAATATATCATATACATCATGGGATATGTTTTTAAAGGAAGAAAGACCATTGACTCACCCACCAAAGACAAATCACTACTGACATTTTATATAGTTCTTTCGTGACCCTTCTTTGTGCATGGTATTTTTTTCATGGTTGTGAAACTATTGGATATACAATTCCATGTTCCCCTTGTTCCTATGATGTAACTGTTACCAAAATCCCTGAGTACCATAGTTTCATAGCTGCGCTAAATCTACTATGTGGTTCATCCATTACTGGCTAGTCAAGCTCCAGTGTTTGGGCAGTTTCAAAGCATTCCACATGACCATTTGTTCTGAGACATATGGGTGCCTGTTTCCTATTGAAGTATGTCTCCTATAGGACAGCCTGGAATGTTGTCCAGGCTGCTAATGAGTAATAATAGCTATAGCAGGCTCACAGAGTCATTCCTGTGGGAAGTGTTAAGCAATACTTAACTTCTCTGTGGAGGCTCCATGTTAACAATTGAAGAGAAAGATGCAGTCTCCATTATCTTGAAATCTTACCTCATTTAATTCAGAAAACTTTGCAGGCATTCCTTTTTGTATTTAAGTGTGTTCAATATGTATATTATTAGATGCACACATGGGCAGAGTGGTTGTGAGCAGGTGTTGGAACCAAACTCAGGTCCTCTGAAGAGCAGCAAGTGTTCTCAATTACTGTTCCATCTTTCCAGTCCCATAGGCATATATTTTTGTGCATGTAAACCTGTGTATACATCACCTGCATCTTTGGCCCCACCCCTTTCTGTTGGTTACTAGACCCAGACGCCACTGGCCTTGCAAGTTCGGTACATATAAAATTGAACTTCTTGGTTTTCTCAAGCTTTCTTCCTTGTCCTCTTCTGTTTTATACAGAAGGAAGGTGTTAGATCTCTATACCTGCAACACAGCACAGTCCTAAGATGTGAAAAGAATTTCTTGTCCCCCTAAGTCCAACATGACCTCCCTTTTAACATCACTTGCAAGTCATTCCAACTCTCCGGTCGTGTCTCATTTGGGCCTTATACTAACTAGTTCATATAGAATTTAGCTAGGATGGTTTTATCAACCTTCCCTTCTACTGCTTTGCCTTTGGAGGTGTTTGGGAAATTCTCAACCCTTCCTCTCTGTGACATCTGCCCTATCTTTCAGTTTGAGCTTCAGTTTGTGTGTCCAGAGGAGGCCTCTCTACTGGCATTGGACTAAGCTGATTGGATCAGGTGCCCAAACTCCAAGTTGGGATAACAAGAGTCTTTCTATTGCCTGGTTTGGAACCCCATTCTAGGTCTTTTGTTTAAACTGAGAAGATATCCACCTGAGAGCCAAGGCTGCCTTCTTAGAGGTGGGGAGGTACAGAAGACAGTTTTAGAAGGAAAAGAAACAAAGCTGATCCAGGAAAGCAGAGATGAGAGTCCATATGCCCCTGGAGGTCATATAGTGTCTGCATCTACTCACTGCCAGATATATTTAACTGTTAAATTTTGTAACAAACCCATATCCTGATAATATAATACCATCTTGTTTTTAAGTTAACAAACTAGCTCACCCGGATTTCTGTTACTTGCAATCAAAAAGGGTTTAATTACAACATAAGCTCCAGCTAAACTTAATACCAGCATGGGACAGTGGGGAGGGGCATTCCTTCACTAGCTGAGGAACTATTGGATTTGATAAAACTTCTGGGAGAGGAAAAGTCAATTATCTTTAATGAGCTGATACCTCATCAGAGACTGGAATGAAATAACCCACTAAGTTAAAGTGGAAAAATATTACATTTGGCTTACATAGAGAACTCTCTCTCTCTTTCTCTCTCTCTCTCTCTCTCTCTCTCTCTCTCTCTCTCTGTGTGTGTGTGTGTGTGTGTGTGTGTGTGTGTGTAAAATCTAGAATATTTGCTATTTTTTTAAGGATAGACTTTCAAATACCAGTGTATTGACGTCTCTATGTGATTGATTTCTCCTCTGCCAGAGGTCATGTGTTTGGCTGATGTTCCATGAGTTTTGTGGTGGAGCCAAGCCAAACATTAACCACAGTACTTCAGGAGGCACAAAGGGAGCTATGGTTAAATAATATCCACCCCACAATTCACCAACAACGCACCTCCTGGAAGTTACCAGTGAGTGTTGTTTAGTACATTTCACTCTTGATCGTCCTCTGTAATTTCACACGTTAGCTAACCCTCCCTGAATTTCCTTTCTTGGTTGTATGGATTTGACTCCTTCACCTCTGTCTATTCTTTGCCTAGCTATTCATCTCCTTTCTGTGCTGGTCCTGGCTTATTGGTTGTCTTCCATATCTTCTATTTGACTATCCCCTTAGCTGTTGTTGTCTCCACCCATGGCCTTTAATTAACCCAGGTAGGCGGCTAGCTTACCTAAGTCACCATTCCAGCAGAGGCTTTAACTCTAAACTTTATTATATTTTGGTGCTTCACTTCCACATTGCAAGTTCCATACCTTTTAGCTGTCCATCTCTGCAGTGACAAATGCACAGGTATAAAAAACCCTACCCTGCCCCATATATCCTTTTTTCCCTGAATTTTCCACAGAGATGATCATGCTAGAAATGCTTGCCCTCTGCCACCAACTTTATCCAATCATCAAACCATGCTGGTTCTAGCTCCTTGACATCGCTGCTCTTCAGCAATTAAAGAATTGATTATGGACTTCAGTTCAACTCTCCTAACATTGAACTACCTCATTTTATTTTCTATAAATCATCTACAAATGATTTACAATAATCTAGAGTTAGCAGGATGGAAAGTTCAGTTAGAGACCACTGAATTCCAATGCCATCCTTGCTAATGCTACCCACCCAAAGTGATACGTCAAGGGCTTGCAAGAAAAAGAAGAAAGACAAATTTTGATGGTTAAAAAAACAAACAAAAAAACCTACCACTTCCATATCGTTTATTTTTCTTGGTCATCTCTGCTATTTCACACAAAAAGAGGCCCAAGTTTTTGTCATAGCATTTGCTTAATGCCTTACTTTAAACTGATTTACTGGACATCTGTTAAACTTTCTGGAAAAGCAGAAATGTTATCAATGCTAGACCTCATCAGAGTGCATCAGCACTTATAAGGGGGCAGACTTTGCAGGCCAACACCTCCCGGGTGGCTTGGGAGAATGATTCAGAATGCTTTACCTCGATTGAATAAAAAGAAAAAAAATGATCACAATCTATTTTGGTCTTTCCATTTATTGCATATGGAAACATACTTCTGCTAAGGCAAGAAAAGCAAGGTGTACAAGGTGAATTTTGAAGTGTTTTAATTGCCAAATTTCCAGAGGTAAAATGAAATGATATCTGGACCAAGTACCTGAATTATATCGGGGATTTTATATTTGATGTTGAATGTGTATTTAGAGAGACAAATACACATGAGTAATGGAGATACCAGATTAGGGGACTGTCTGACACCTGGCCATTAGCACTCACTACTGTGAGTGGAAACTGAAGGAATTGGCTTGGGGCTTCAGAGATGGACAGTTGTTAAGGGCTCCTGCTGTTCTTGCAGAGGACCTGATTTTAGGTGCTGAAGCCCAAGGCTTCACAGCTGCCTGTAACTCCATCCGCAGAAGATCCTACCCATTCTTCTGAACTCACAAGTGCACGTACTCACACAGGCACATAATACATTTTTTTGTTTTGTTTTCAAAAGAAAACGCTCATTTGCCTAAATCCAAACACTTTTTTTCCTCCACATCCTGGAGAAGTTACCGTGACTGAAGCCCGAGCTCTGTTTTCAACATGCTAAGGCATTTGGCAGGTATCTGCCTTCAGTTCCCTGCAAAGTGTGAGAAGTGACTGAATCTCTAGACGGATCCCCCACTCCCCACCCCCGCCCCGTCTCATCTCTACAAGCTGAGGGTCTTCGGTGCAATTGCTCTTAAATTAGGGTATGAAATGGACTGGGTTCTGGTGGCCCAGGCTTATGTAACACTGGTGCTTGAAACATTAGAAGCAAGAGCAGCCTCGCCTTTTTAAACTTAGTAGTCACAAAAGGCAATTTTCTGTTTCCCAAACAAATACTCCCCTTACTTCTGCAGAAGTTCTTTTGAGCCTCAGTTGCTCACAAAACAATATAGGAGTCTTCGTCAGCATTAAGGACGTCAGAGAAGATTCTTTGGCAGTGTTCCGGACTCTGGAGCACTTGTGATGCTGACATCTCCACAATTCAATAGTGAAATCAGGCTTGAAGTTCATCCCTGGGATGCCTAAGGAGCTCCATGGCTCCTCTTGGCCCTAAACATCAGCCAAGAAGTTGGTTTGGGGAGGATCACGCCTCTTGACCTGAATCAAAAGTGCCGGCGACACACAAGCACAACCTACCCAAATGGAAAGGTTTGGGCCTGGTCTGCAGCTGG